ATTGATTACAATGTTGCCTTTTGCATTCAAAAGAAACAAAATATTTGAAAAATGAAAGTAATTTTCCTTTGTTGGACCTGTTTTCAAAAGATGGATACAAATAGAAATTGTCTCCTCTAGAGGGAGCTTGTTAAATTGTTGCTGGAGTCGATCTGGGGATTTCACAGCTGTGGAGATTAGGATCGTGGGACCAGACTCTGACCTTGAATAAAAATGTGTTTAGAAGAAGTTTTGGTGCTTGCTTTTTGCAAGACAAGCGCTTTGTTGGAGCAGATGCATGAGAAGATGGATTTGATGACTGTTGCAGTCAAAAACTTTGGACAAACGGCAAATACTCATATAGAAACTATTCAGGAACCAACCCAGGAACCTGTTTTGACAGGGCAAGTGCAAGTGCAGAAGATAATGGAGGTTGCTGCTGAACCTCAAGTAACACAAATGGAGAGACCCGAGGCCCTGCAGGAGCATAAGCCGCTGTTCTTGAAGATTGAATCTGGAGTGGGCCGGGGGGGGGGTCTGGAGTTGTGGGGGCTCTTAATTTTGGAGGGACTTTGAAACATGCTTTTAAATACTTTCTGGACTACACTGCTGACTGTGGGGAATGGGACTGTGGGGAATGGGCTGATCTGCTGAGGGGAGATGGAGATATTTTTGGGTTGGAGTTTCCCCGAGACCTACTCCTCAATGGGAAAGGAAAGAAATTAAGAAAGAGATCAATAAAAAACAAGGTAAAGTGCAGGTATAAACAAGAAGAAGATCTGTAGAAGGGACATGGAAAAGACTTAAGAGCCTCGGACATAAGATTACCAGGTTGATGGACTAGATGGAATGGACAGTAAGGACTGACATAACCCGAGACCAGGAAGAAGAGACGTTGGATGAAGATTGGAAGAAAGTTTTTTTAAAAAAATATTTTGGGAATTAGTGTAAAATTAACGAGTATTAGGAAAAATGTTGGAATGAAACTATTTGGCTTTAGTAGAAATGATATAAGGAGTTATGTATAAATAAGTATTAAGTTTTAAGCTTTAAGGTATTTTATGGTAAGATAAGGTTAAAATAAATTAAGGTAAATCGAATGACAGAATATAGTGAAAGATGGAAAGGATTTGCTGAGTTAATTAATAGGTTAGACTGTTAAGATAAATTACCCAACAAAAATTGAGAAAGATGGAAAGAATTTGCTGAAACAATTAACTAAACTAGAATACAAAAAGGGAGGTGTGAGGAGGTCGATGAAACAAGTAAATGAAAGATAAAGATATGTGTGTTTTTATTGTTGTATTGGTTTTTATGCTTTTTTATTATCTTTTTTCCTTTTTTATGTATCGTAATGTATGTCTTGTTAAATTTTTTGTTGTTTTTCTTCTTTTCTCTGTAATTTTTAAACTTGTAATAAATATCATGTTAAAAAAAAAAAAAGAAACATACCTGGGGGAAAACAACTTAACTGAGCTCTAAGGTGGCAATGTGAGTTTCCCTCACCTATTGCCAACTATCCGACCTGTGCTGTTGTCATGTCTTGATGGTTTTGGACCAAAATGTGAATGACCGATCTATTTCCTTAAATGCCTGGAACCTCTAATTGTAACTCCCAGGTGCATGCATATGGGTGCTCATGGAAACGCTGCTGTTTATATGTTTGCTGAAGGAAACACCAGTGTAACAAATATATACCTCCAGCAATCATAGTTCCCTCAGAAACTGTAGAGCTGCCAGTATTCACCAACCATTAGCTAAAATCTCTCTAGTATTTTGCAACCATCTGCACCTGTAATCTTCTAAAATTTAGTAATAAAAAATACTTAAAGTAGGCATGCAAACCTATGCCATATATTTAGCAGTGATCTGTCATTTCAGCTATGATTTAATTTAGTGCTAGCTGGAAGTTTTGCATCCTGTGACATAGTTGAAAGGAGCTGACAAATTGCCTTTAGTTCCCACATCAATTTGTACCTCAGCAATTCTTGGTTGAACAAAGACATGTATAGAAATTTACTTGCCTTTCCGACCCACCCTGCCTTCTTTAAAAGGCAACCAGGCCTTGCACAAGAGCAAGCCCTATCTTTGTTTGCATTCCTGAATCTCAAAAAGGCCTGGGGAGATCCCATGGTGATAACAGTCTCATTCTTCGGGACAATAAATCACAGCTGGTCCCTAGCCATGTCTGGCAGAACTGATCCATGACAGCACTGAGAATGACATGATTCAGACCAGTGCATGCCCAGGAAGTTGAGCAGATCAGGGATTACGGGAAAAGGGTTTGCGTAAAAAAGTGAAGTGCGGATGCAACAAATGGGTGTTTGGAAGCACTTCTATCAAGCCAGTCTTCTAGTCAGAGAACCAAAACTGGCTGAGGTTCCCTGACAAATGTACACTTGGATGCCGCAAACTTTGACTTTTTTCCTGAGCAGCATGTGGAATTTCCCTTATTCCTCAACCTAGCCGAAATTAAGTCTCCAAGGCTGCAATTGTCTACACGAGAGCAGGCCCCGTTCAACTCAGTGGGACTTGGGTTGACATGTATAGGATTGCATTCTAAGTAACAGTACAAGGAGTGGTTGTATTTCTTCATTATCATTCCTTGTTTTCTTGGACCTTTCACTCTATTCCACCCCCTTTCCTTTCTTCTGTATCTCCCCTACAGCCAAAATTCAGATAGTACCCTACTGGTGGCAGGCATCCATTTTGTTTTCCAATATATGATTCTGGCCATATGCTTCTGATCGTTACTATGAATTATAAAATAATATGTAACACATAATAATGTACAGTTAAAGTAATGTTTTTATTTTCAGGTGCCTCATTACTTCATATCTTAGAAGTCTACTCCTAAAGTGCTGAGAAGTTAATTGCAGGAAATAGCTCAGATGGATTTGAAAGCAGCTTAACCCTTCTGGATTGTTGGAAGTTTTGACTTTTATTGAGTATAAAACTTATTTAAAATCACATTAAAGCCCCTTCATAGAAGCTTCTTGAAACCGTACACACATAGTTAGTCTCTTTCTTAAACAGTGAGTAGTATTGAAAGTGGCTGAGGTAAAAAGCAAACAATACAGGGAGGCAACACAGAAACGTATTTATTCTGGTCCAGCAGAAAATACTCTGGTCCAGAACTAGGCCTAATGTAAGTGGGAGCAGATGGCTGTAAAGAGTGCCATTTGACTATCTTCAATGCAGGCTGAATTTAGTCCCAGAATCGTCAAAACCTCTCAAGAATCTCTAGCAAATCAAAGAATGTATTATATGTAGTACACATGTAGCATGGATGAGAAATACAAAGCACTCACGGCACATGAAAGAAAAATGTATCTCCCAGAATAAAAATACAACAAAAAGTCCTAATTGGTAGTTATTAGCATATAATAATCAGTATGTAAATAGGAGGGGGTAGAAACCTGTTTACATGACATTACTCAAGTGGGTATTATTTCCTACATGATTCAATTTAACGATTTATCTCAGGTGGATTTATCAATGGGCTAACATGTTTAAAACATGATTGGAGACCCTCAGCTGTATCTTTCTGGCCCCAACCTTTTGTCTGTCTCACGCAAGTCAGTGGGACTCGCCTCTCCCCTCCATCTGCTTCCATTACAAGCATCTTACTTTGGTGGCGCACCAGACCTAGCATGCGCTAGCACTCAGCCACTGGGTGCAGCTTGGAATATAAAGAGCATTCGAGAAGAGGAATGGTGAGCAATACCTTTCGCTCACCTCTGAATAAAAACCTAGGAAGGCCTGTGTTGCACACCAGGAGGCATTTCAGAGGCCTATCTAGCCCAGCCTTGTTTCCCCAGCAGCCAAGCAGATGCCCATGGGGAGCCCTCAAGCAGGGCACGATCCCACAGCACTCTCCCCACTTGTAATCCCCAGCGACTGGTATCCAAGCACACAGTGCCTCTGATACTGGAAGTAATATGTAACCCTTATGCCTGGTGGTTTATTCATAGCCTAATCCACACTGGTGGCTACAATTGCATCTTATGGCAGCAAATTCCGTAGTTTAACTCTGCCCTGTGTGAAGAACTTCATTTTGTCCTGAGCCTCCCACCTTCCGGTTTCATGGGGTGACCTCAGGTTCCAGTAGAATCATAGAGGGGGAAGGGACCCCAAGGGGTCATCTAGTCCAACCCCCTCCAATGCAGGAATCTCAACCTCTGCTTAAAGCCTCCAAGGAAGGAGCGTCCACCACCCGCCTCTCGTGGGAGCCTGTTCCACTGTCAAATACCATCAGAAAATTATTCCCAATTTTTAGTTGGAATCTCCTTTCTTGTAACTTGAATCCATTGGTTTGGGTCCTACCCTCTGGAGCAGAAGAAAACAAGCTTGCTCCATCTTCCATGTGACAGCCCTTAAGGTATTTGAGGAGGGCTATCCATCTCCTCTCAGTCTCCTCTTTTCCAGGCTAAACATACCCAGCGCCTTCAGCCATTGCGCATAAGCCTTGGTCTCCAGACCTGTCTACTTTCTCAACACCAGACATAACTTTATGCACCTACATGTTCATAAATTACATGGTCAGGAGAAAAAGGCACTCTACATATGCCCAGAGACCTGAGGAAGAGCAGAGCTTTCACACAGCAACAACCAAGCAGCCCCTTTTCTTCTGAGAAACTAACCTAACCCCGATTCGACTCTCCCCTTGGGCAGCCCGGAGCCCTTGCTCGGGTTTGTTGCGAGCAGGAAAGATGAACTGAATGGCTTTCAATGCCTCGCCGCGCCCCTTCTAAGCCGAAGCAGAATCTCACGGCAGGCTGCCTTCTTTCGCCAAGAGAGCGGACTCGGCTTCCCAGTGCGGCTGCCCAGCCCGGGAGAAAGGCCCTTGCAAGGCGGCGGCGGCGGCGGCGGCCAGCTTATTTCCCGGCAAAAATCGGGGCGCGGAGGAGGAGGGAAAGAAGCGGGTGGAAAATCCGCTCTGGGGAAGTGTGGGGTGAACTGCGAAGAGTTTGTGGGGCGGGTTTTGTTGCGCTTTCCAATCCTGCAGGAAGTTGAGGATTTGCAGCCTCCTCCTCCTCCTCCATTCCAAGCCGCGGCCGGAGGAGGCAGAAGCGGGACCCCGCGCAGCCCCCTCCCCGTCCCGGCGTGCAGCGCGAGGAGGGCGGGCGCGGGGTGCGCGTTGCGGGCCAAGTCGCTGCCTGCGCCTCCCGGGGCTCCTCCTCCTCCTCCTCCTCCTCCTCTTCTCGCTCCCGGCCGGGCCGTCCGCTTTCGGTGCGCGGCTGCTGCGAGGCGACGAGGGCGCGCGGGAGGCCGTGGGTTTTGCGTTGCGGGGCGAGCGGGATGGAGCGCGGGGGGCCGGGGCGGGCGCTGCTGGGGCTGGGGCTGGGGCTGGGTCTGCTGGGTCTGCTGGCGGGGCTGTGCGGCGGCGCCATGGACGAGTGCGCGGACGAGGCGAGCGCGCGGGCGCAGCGCTGCATGCCCGAGTTCGTCAACGCCGCCTTCAACGCCACGGTGGCGGCCACCGACACGTGCGGCAGCCCGGCCGAGGAGTACTGCGTGCAGACGGGCGTCACCGGGGTCACCAAGTCCTGCCACCTGTGCGACGCGCAGCAGCCTCACCTGAGCCACGGCGCCGCCTTCCTCACCGACTACAACAACCAGGCCGACACCACCTGGTGGCAGAGCCGCACCATGCTGGCCGGCGTCCAGTACCCCAACACCGTCAACCTCACCCTGCACCTCGGTGAGTGAGCGGCTGGGTGGCCTCGCGGCGGCGCCTCTAGGCTGCAAGGTCCTCGGGGCCGCGCGCGCTGCTGCTGCTGCTGCTCGGTGGAAGTTTCCAGCGCCTGCCTGCCGGGCGGGCTCCCTCCATTGTAGCACCACCAGCAGCAGCAGTGGTTAACTTCGTGCTTTTGGAAGGTGGCTGCCCGAGTGGGCAGGCGATGGCTGCAGCCTGCGGTTTATGCCTTAGAGCACTTCGTTCCAAACTGGAGTCTTCAGCTGTTTTGGGACTACAACTCCCATCATCCCTAGCTAGCAAGACTGTGGTTAGGGATGAAGGGAATTGTAGTCCAAAAGCAGCTGGAGACCCAAGTTTGGGAAACTGGTTTAGAAGTACTGTCTCCAAGATAGGAGATTCTGTTTCCTTATTAAGGCTGATTGCGGTTGATAGTTCTGCCTCCTGCAGATTTGTTTAAACACACTCAGGTGTGGTCATTGATAAGGACTACCATCTCGCATCTTTGGCAGGGCAAAGTATGTCCTTGCTTGGGAGTGTTGCTCGCCAAGTCCAGATTCCCAGAGCGATTATTCAGCACAGAGGGAGAAGTTGCTTTGTGGATGCTCTCAGCACATTGTATAGCGTGAAAATAAGTTTCCGGGCGAGGCCTCGACAAAGGTGACCCCTGTAGTTTGCACAGAGAGGGGGGAAACGCCTCCTTATGCTCTGCCTCTCCCATTGGGGAGAGGAGAGGATTCCTGAGGTCTGGGGCAGGGCTCAGGAGGGCATGTTTTCCATGCTGGGGTTCAAGAGAAGGAACATGCACACTCATAGTCAAGAACATGTGCAGAGTGCCTTTACCACATTTGGCCCTTGTGAGAATCCTCCCTCCTGACCAGAGGGCAAGTCTGTTAGGTGTTACTTGCTTCTGAACTTTCATCACTGACATTATTTCGTGTAGCCAGACACATTGCCTCTCCTTGCCTTGCTTAATAACTTAGCTCCATCGCCTCCCTCCCCGCAAGTCAAACTGTTGGATTTCTAATACATAAGGGACGTGCTGCAGTTGTACTGTCTAAAGTCCTGTGCAGACATTGTTTTATTTGGTGTACTCTTTAAACTGAATCTGTTGGAGCTAAGGGGGTGTCCATGCTGCAGCAGCTTGCTATGATTTTAATTTGTTGTAGTGACATTCTCTCTCCCATTCCCCAAGCTCCCCAAGTTTTGTTTTATTTATTTATTGAACTTGAGTTAATTGTATAGACTGCTGGTTGGGTACTGTTCTCCATTGTTTTTTTAAAAACCTCCCGCTGCAGGTGTACAGCAGCCGGTACAGCCCAAAGTGTCACCATACTGTAGAAATGTTCGATATTCTACTAAGTTTTGTATATGCTGTTAGCTGCCCAGAGTGGCTGGGGAGACCCAGCCAGATGGGCGTGGAATAAATAATAAAAAATACTATTTTTAAGGAAGCACTGAAACAGCAGCCTCTCTCCCCTGGTTAAGAGAGGCATCTGGGCATGTCTTAACTCGTTTTGTCCATTGGAAGAGATTATTGGTGTAAATGGTAGCATTAGTCATTGCCAGGCCTGGGCAGTAATGGAACGATTGCCCAATATCAGCAGCTGGCCTCTCTCCTTTATCGGATAAGGCACATCATGCCTTGTGTACCTAAGGCTCAAGGCAGATATCAACACTGTACTTTCTTTACATTCATCTTCACACCAATAAGAGGCGAGTTGCATTCTCCTCTGTTTTGACAAATGAGGAGCAGAGTTGAGTGTGAGAGATGGCAATGAAGTTTGTTGGTGGGTCCATGACTGAGCTGCGTCTTGCCTTCCAAATCTTAGGCAACTCGTCTACCCACTACTAGTCTCCAATTATTACTCCTAGCATTGGATTACCATTGTTTCTTGGGTTGGACTACAACTCCCATCATCCATGGTCACTGATATTGCTAGCTAGGGATGATGGTAGTTGTAGTCCAACAACAGCTGCAGACCCAAGTTTGAGAAACACTGGATTCGATAAAGGGCATGTGGGAATCTTGTCTTTGCAGTTGTGGTGACACAGCTGCAGCCTAGCCTGTCACTCCCTTCCTTTTGTCACATAATCATTCCAAAGGGACATTCTTCTTGTATCCTACAGTGGCTTGGTGTCCCCCCCCCCAATGGCATATCTAAGAACACAGGAGCTTGCATGAGTTGCATCCTCATGCACATTTAATGTGTTTCAAAGCTTTTCAGGAGCACCAGTACAACGGGGGGGGGGGCACGTTCCACGAACTGCTATGAGCTTAATATTCAGTATGGTGAGAGCAGAGAGGCGGTGTCAAATGAGAGTGCGACTTTTGCAACATTTCCAGCCCACTTCCATGCTTGTTTTCTCATAAGTTATGTTCCCTGCGCTGGGTGGAAGTGTGGTCCAGCACAACAGCGTTCCTGACTCATTTGAAGTTTGAGGGGTGCAGCCTAAGCCAACTTAATGCCAGTCTGTTCCCTGAATAACCTTCTCTGCTTACAGACAGGGTGATGGCAGGGACAGGAGTCTTTAAAGTTCGCACCACCTGCCTTTTATCCTTTTCTGCTTAAGGGAACACCTGCAGGCAAGGTTCTTTTGCCACCTGCTTGCATTTATGGCTAATTGGGACTTTGTGCCTGAACTGGCATCGTAGATTTCCTTGACTAGACAAGAAACTTCATTACCTGCTTCCTTTTATGATCATCCATTAGCAATTTCTTGCATGTCTGGCCTCGGTGCTTTATTCTTAGAGCAGATTTCATCACTTTTCAGGTTGTTTTCTATAATGTAATAATTTCCTCCTGCTGCTGCTTCCTGTACTAGTGGAGCTGAGCATTTTCCTTTTTCCATACAAGGACTACCCTTTCCTCTCCTTATCCTTCCTGTCCCAGCCCTTTATAAATGTGGAATGAATTTTTTCCAGGCTCCTGGGAGGCCAGAGAGACATTGCTGGAACAACTCTTGAGTTGGGGCAACTGGCTAAAATGTTTCAAAATGTTTTAAACGGTTTTAATTTTGGTTCCTCTGTTTTGTTTTTGTTGGGTTGGGGTTGGTGGCTATTTTAATTTGGCCATAACTGTAAACTGTTTTTAATTATTATTATTATTATTATTATTATTATTATTATTGATTTATAGTCTGTATAAGATATTTTGTTTTTTAATGTTTGAAGTTTTATTATGTTTTTATATATACTAAGCCACCCAGAGTGGCTGGGGAAACCCAGCCAGATGGGCGGGATATAAATAATAATAAAAATTATTATTCTTACGGTATTTCCTTATCCCTCTGCTTAATCCCACCCAGTCTTCTCACTGACTTGTGTCGGTGCCAGCAAGGATCATCTTCACCTTCACAATTCCTCTTCCCTGGAAGAGGAAGCCCTGGTCTGGCTGCTAGGCTTAGGGTTTTTCAGGTTAAATATTGACTGACTTGGTCCACTTGACAGGCTAGTGCATAATGAATGTAGGAAAATTAAAACAACGGCTTCCCAAAGTGGAAAAGGGGGAGTGAGGAATGTGCACAGTATAGAGTTCCATGTTGCCTTCCATATATCTGGGGACTTTGAATAAACACTTCAAAGGAGTGTTCTGTCTCAGGGTTAAATTGTTGCTTTGTGGTGGTCAAACATAATTTAAATAGGTCACAAAGCAGTTTCACAGTTAAATCTCATCACACGCAATGCAAAAAGGAAATGGGCTGTCTCTAAGTGGTAATAAATTGTAGGAGGCTGATTTCGGCAACATTTTAGCAGGTTATTCCTCATTGGATTTGGCTTTTCTTTGGTTTGCTTTGAACAATGTGTGTGGTGGAGCTGGGATTTTGAAGCCTGAATGCAAACTTAAAAGAAAAAATGAGCTGGTATCTGTAATGGCAAAGTAATTTGTGGGGAAAGCTTTTGACACTTTCTGGCTGCAAATAATTGAATGTTTGCACACCTGTGATGCAGTAAGTGTAAATTTGGAGGGGTTTTTTTGTATAACACAGTAAATGACGATTAGTGCAGGAATGAATGAATGATGTGCTTATTCAGCATTTCCTTTGTAGATATATACTTTTTTTGTCTAGGCATTTGGAGCAAATGCTTCAGGTTTGGGAAAAGAATGCGTGAGCGTCTGCTGTGATTGTAAAACAGAAAAATGCTGAAGCTGGGAGATGTGTCACAGCGGAGGAGCCTGGCTTGTTTGAAAGGGAAAATGGGATACATAAAACACGGTGGTGCCTCTCATTTCACTAACTCTTTGCTGGTTGATGTTTATGTATAGAATTTGAACCATAAGAGGATGCTAGGGGAAACGCTGTGGTTACACTAAGAGCTCTGTCAGTACATGGGGTATTTGCTTTGAACAAGAATTATCACTATCCGCTGCTGGAAGGAACATGCAGAAATAACTTTCCACTTGTCAGTCATTCAGCTGTTTGAACTGAATTTATAATTGTGGTAGCTTGCCAGTGTTGCCACTTTGCCATTGTCTAAAAGACAACAACCCAGCAACTACGACAAAAACCCACCAGCTGCTTTTGATAGCGGTGTTGTGTTTAAAGTTCTGTGAATGGTCAGTCATTTGCTTGAGTTGCATAAGAAGGCAAGGGCTTTCTGTGTGTAAATGGGTGGAGGTGTTTCTCAGGTGTGGAGCTGCTTGGTGTTTGTGGGAGAGAGGCACTAACCTGTGTTAAAATGTGGATTTAATATGCTGATTCTTTCTATGCATCCTGTTTGGTCATTTGTTTTTTTAAAGTACTTTATGATTCTCACAAACTTACATTTTGAAGGTGCATGGATCTGGATATACATCTATTGCTACACACCCACACTATTTTGAAAGTAAAGTTTTCTGTGATAGTTTGACTAGACTGGCCTGTGTCTGACCCAAACCTGAAATTTCTAATCTGCTTGCTATAAAAGGCTTACAGGACACGGGAAGATGCATCAAATAGACAAGAGCCTCGTTATCTGCTGAAGAGAGATAATTCTTGTTCTTGCAAAAGCTACACTCCTATCT